CAGCCTTATTTTGTTGACCAAGAGTAGTCTTTCTTTGAGATTGTCTTTGATCAAGAGGGGAAAGGGACTGTAGAGAGCCTTTGGTGTTTCAATGGGAAACTAGAGCATGCTCTTTTGGATTACCGGATTCTGACCCTATTCATTGCCTTTGAGCTATTTTGCACCTCTGTAAATTGCAGATCTATCTGGAAACTTTGTTTTGTCTGGTAGCTAAGCTTTCTGTTTCCCGGTGCAAAAACCGGTTTGATGTTTACTTCTAAATTGCACTGTGTTTTCTCACCTTGCACAACTTGTCAACCCTTAACCAGATTTTCAGTTCTTACAGTTTCCTTCAATATTTGGCTATAAACTAATCTTAGCCTCAAAATAAACTTTCCAATTTTTCTGCCTCCTTCTTGACTTGAAGTCATGAGAACTACAAACCGATTGCCAGGTTTTTATTGGGACTCTGATATTGCCTTTGCTGGTCTTTGCCTCCAAAATCTGAAGAGTCACTGCAAGCCGAAGCCTAAGGACTTTTTATAAGATTGGAAGGACTCATCATCCCACCTGATCATTCATGGTCCAGCTCTTTCCATGCATAGGCCACCGCTTGCACTACCAAGCAAGTGTGGCGAAATACTCGAGCCATCCATCCTTATTGGAGAAGAACCAATGCTGTGGACATCACCACCAATACAATTGACATCACAGCTTCAAAAAACTCAGTGAGTGGTAAGAGACTGAATATACAAACAATCACCAGACAGGTACAAAAATAGAGCTCTGACCCACAGCCTCTAGAGCAATTAGTCTAAGAAGCCAAATATAACCTATTCAATATCAGTCCCAAATCAGGACCTGGTCAATAATTGCCAGCTTCCCTAATTTTTGCCCTCACTTCTAACTTATATATCTAACAAATATATTCTAATCAATCATATAAGATGGTCCACTTCTAGTTAGTTCTCTAGCTTCTGAAAGCTGACTGCCTCTAATTAGCATTCACCAAAGTCGTCCTGTTTTCCACTCCAGAGCTTTCCACAACTCTACCTGCATTTGAGTTTCTGCCCATCTCAGGTGATGGTGGTAATTCTCTTGCTATAGCAAGTTCTGAATGAACCGCATTTGTTTGTTTTCATTGGAGTGATCTTCATTTCTTTCCACAGTTTTCTTGGAAGTTCCACCAAAATACAGTTGGCACTGACCATCACCGTGGCCTCCAGTCTTAGACCAGGCACCCAGAACCTGTTGTGCCTCACTGCTCACTGCTCATCAAGTCCACAACGATGTGGTAAGTCAGCACAGGCCTGAACTCTACCCTTCGTGTTGAGTTCCTTGGTCTTTCTTCTGAGTTTTGTAGCCGGGTTTTGTTATTGGTGCCATTTGTTTGTATCATTGGTGGAATCAAGCCATTCTTTTCATCCCTTTTTGTTTGCATTTGTGTTACTGCTCCATGGGTTGCTGTCTAAAAGTGCTGTAGGTCACAAGGAGAATCATATGGTAGAACACAGGCATATGCCTTCTGAGCATATTTTTCATGGCAGCCTCACACACCAATGAGTTTGCCATTCTTTTACAAAAAATTTTTTTCAACGTTTATTTATTTTTGGGACAGAGAGAGACAGAGCATGAACGGGGGAGGGGCAGAGAGAGAGGGAGACACAGAATCGGAAACAGGCTCCAGGCTCTGAGCCATCAGCCCAGAGCCTGACGCGGGGCTCGAACTCACGGACCGCGAGATCGTGACCTGGCTGAAGTCGGACGCTTAACCGACTGCGCCACTCAGGCGCCCCCAATGAGTTTGCCATTATTACAAGAACTGCCCATTTGGACAAACTTTGTTGTAAGTCACCCAATAAAACTGGATGAGGTTCTTTCCATCTCAAGATTTTGTCCTTTGGGCTTTTCCCCCCCTTTTTGATTCAGAGAGAGCATTCTCTCTGATATTCCACATGCCAGAGGGCACACATTGTCGAGTCTGTGTTTGAAGGTGACCAATCATGAGTTTGGGTTTTGAGATATGCGTTGCACACACATTTCATTTCTACCAGCGTTGGCAGCTCTCATGGGATCATTTAAATCTAAATCATCTCCTCTTCTGGGAAAACTCTTGTTTCACATATCCACTCTCATGACAGTCCTTACTCTTGTACTTATCTTTCCAAATGTTGTAATTTTCCCAAGTATGAATTAAGCCTTTAGTGGGCACTTGGGGGCATTTGACTTCAAAACATTGTTCATTTGAAAGGTTCCTTAGAAAAGAAAGGAATACGATTTCTCAGTACATATGGGCAGCATTTTTTGATTGGTACACAGAGACCTCCCAACAAAGTTTAAATAAAAAATTACTTCACCAAAAGTTTCTTTGGCCAAGGCTATGAGGAATTTGACAAACTTAAGTAACAACAAAGTACTTTCTCTAGTAAATCCTCTTTCTTGTCCTTCAGCTGCTTCCCTATATCCTACTCTCCTTTTTCCCTCTTATCATTTCAATCTCTTTTCTCTGTCGACACCTCCATCTGCTTGTCCAGACCCTTTCCCCAACTCTTAAAACTACCAAAACCAGTTGCCTCTAAAAATCCATCCTTCTCATGTGCTAGGTATGCAGGGAACTATAGAATCTAAACCTTGCACTCAAGCTCTAATTCTTAGAATTCTAAAGATTTCTCTAAACTTAGATAAGACCAGCAAA